GTCCAAGATCGTGGATACACATGATGTGTCCAGTTACTGAGCAAGGATCCAAATTTTTTCTTCCAGTATCACTGCTGTAGTTACAGCAGTGCTTTGTAGGTGCATAACCAAAAGCACCACCACCTTGAACAAGTGAAGTGACCCAGTATGATGTCATGTGGCATTCATAAYTTAGGATTTGATGATCCAATTCAACAACTGTATCCTCAACATGCTGACATGTTAGACAATCCTGTGGTTAAGCATTTAAAATACTGATATGTCCCATGTAAATATTGCAGGATTACTTCTAACAGTAAAGATTATTGTCTCATTTCTGAAAAGCTAACTTATCTGCTGCTCTGATCTGATTTTACAAATATTTAAAAATCATGATAATATTTATAATTTGCAAAGCTTATTATTTTATATTATACGCAGTTGAACTCTCGTAAATCACATGCAACAAGTTGTAAATCCCTCCAAATGACCACCATAATTAATGCCGTTTTCTCAAAAGGCACTTGTATTGCTCAACCAAATCACTTTCTGTTTCGCCTGCTGTACTTTTGGGGTGCATAGAGGCAAAAAAAAAGTTAAGATGGTGGGTATTCTAGAAGTGACATATTCTAAGTTAACTTATTCCACACCTCCAGTAAGAAGCACAATCTTTCTGAGAAGTGCTATGAGAAATGTTGAGTTCCGGTGACTTTTTACAAACAAGGGTGGAGTTAAAATTCATCATTGATCAGAAACCAGCTTAGCCTTAAGAATGCTAGCACTGTATTTGTCTTCATTACATTACCCAACAACACGTGAACCAAACAAACATGACTATAATTATYCTGACATTCCAATGTTTTATAATGTGATTTCAAGTCATTCCAGGAAACAAAAAATCCAATTCATTTCACCTCCATAATACGCTTAATCAAAAGCAAAGCTTTAGTCTCATAAAACCAATATTTGCTATAGAAACAATTTAACTGCAACTGCACCTATCTTATCAAGCTCCCTAGTAAAAAATCCATAATCCTCTTCAGTCGCAAGAGTCAAAGTCCAAGCTTTGGTCATGTAAAAAAGTCTATTMTTTTCAGGTTGTTGCTGTTCCTTCCCAAACCCTCCTATCGTCCCAACATGTTCTCCTGAAGAATGTGGCTAAGCAGCACTTATCTTTGTGCACTAAAAGGAATTCATGTAGGTGACRTGTTTTTCTCATCTTGTGAACTTATAAAAATTTCAATGGGAAGGTGTTTCACATTTCTCACTAGTCAGAGTAGATTCTACCTTCTGTATTATTTCACTAACTCCCCTTGCATTATCTGTTGAGCTCAATAGATGAAGCTTCAATAAATTAATACCACAAAGGAGACTGTACAAGACAGTACAGTACAAAGGAGACAGTACAAGCAGTTGTTTGAAGTKTCTCCATTATTTCATAGCTCTTCAATGATATTTCCCTTACCTGATCACGAGTCCCCTAACTGCAAGATTGAAATCTTCTCTGTTTTGGCATTTCTAGACAACTGTAGGAAGTCCAGCCTTAGAGTAACTTAGGTTATACTACCAGCTTTCTGGCAAAGGTAGAGCTGCTTTAAAACACTGAAAACCATTTAATTATGAGTCTGTACGTAGTACACTAGCACAAATATAAATTTTTATTGATAGACTAGAGAAAGTAAAACAGAGAAAATTACAGTCAATTTGGAATGATTTGGTAAAAAACRTGGGCATAAACTATTCCCTGAAAACAGTGAAGCACTGCTGAGGGAGAAAAGTAAAGGCTACTTTTAAAGTAACCATTCTCTTAGGCACAAAAGAACACTGATTGTCCTTATCAGGGAGGAGTAGCAAAGCCTCCCAAGCCCTACAAAGAAGTGTGTGGAATTTGAGACACAGCTTACCAATACAAGCAGAAATTCAGGTCAGAAAGARCAGGAGACAGTAAGGCTTGTAGAAACATGCCTGCCTGCCTATTCAGAGGCTTCGCACTGTGATTCAATTGAATCTGCCTAATGCATGCTTGAAACGACAGGAGGTGATTTAGAAACGCACTCACGCACAGTACCGCTCTCCTCCCTTCCCACTAGAAAGTCTGAGAAACTTTTCTACAGCGTCCCTACAGGCTAAACCCACAGTCCAGCTTTCCTCAACACTGAAGATCAATGTTGCCACTCAAGCAACAACTAAATTTTGAGATCTGTGAGTTATTTTAAGCTCACAAAGCATTTATAGTCACAAGTTTTATTGAACAAACAAAAAGCAGTTACTACCATTAACTTCTCAGAGGTCTAAGAACTTTCAGATGTTTGGAAGATGGTCCAGGGAGAACTCCAAAACCAAATTAAGGGAAAATTCATATTGTTCTTGGCTCCTTCTCATTTGCTTCAATTACTTCCTTTTCTCATTCTTTGGAATGACCCTCAACATGTYTTATGCACAAGACTCTTAGAATTATGCGTGACAACTATATATCTTTACCTTCTTTAGCACCTAATAAATTACACCAAGTATYGAGATCAATAACTACTTCAGCAGCTTCCAGAGAAAGTTATATTTATTCAAGCTAAAGCATTTTCTGAGCATAAAATTGGTGTATTTCTCAGCAATGCTTCAGCCAAATGCCTATCATTTGACCTGGGCATTCTGAAGATTTCAAAAGGAGTCCTAACAAAGAGTTTAGCTCATCATATTTGCCAAAACAAAAGTATATTCTAGAGACTACACCGACTTTCCATTGTATAATAGAGTAATTCAACTAAGTATGTCTAGAGAGATTGGGAAAACTAATAATGTCACMATGACACTGCTTTTTTTTGTCAGTCAATATTGCATATAGAAGTTTTTGGTCAATTACAACATGTCAGATACTAATCTGAAAAATACCCACTGTTACAAGCAACTAGCCTACAATTTGAYTCAAATTGACCTACAGGTAGAAATGAAACCATGGATTCTGACACCATTTTTAGCAGAAGACACATTAGGACCTATAAGGCATACTCATTTTTCTCAACAGGGAAATAATCCCATCTCATGAATTGCATGGAATCCCAAAAAACAGCTGATGTACTATTGAAGGCTGGAGGAGATGACAATTGTGTGACTCAAACACTTTTGTTTCCTTTTACTAATGTTTAGTTCTAGAAAGAGAATAATAAGTTTAAAACTTCCMTTAAAACTGTTTAGAGACATGAAATACAGTAACCACCTTCTTCTCCAGACACAGATTCCCACATAACCAGCTAATAATAGTTTTTTCTTTGTCATTTTCCTCCATCTCTTAGCCCAGATCTAAGGACACCCCCTGCAAAGCCCACAGAAAAAAAGCCTCCATGATGCAACACCGAGAACAGCAGGAACCTAACCCATAATTAAAGTTCTTAAATCCTGTGATAACACAGATTAAAAAAAAAAAAAAAAACTGACAGAAAAGAGATGGCACATCTCTGGCCCTTTCTAACAGTATCTTCAATCACTAAATCATCTGTTCCTCTCTGGTTAGGCTGCTGTCAGATGTGCTGCWGTCTAGATGAAGAAAGTTGACTATYACCAGCATGCAAACTGTTACCCATATTCCGTTCATTCTTGTTGTCCAACCCAGAACAAGAGTGAGCAAGAGAACTGATGTGCAATTTAAATTGCTTCTCAAATTCTGATTTGGTTTGCTGGGTTAATGGACAGTTATGAGGGTTATATTGCTCTGCTAAATGGATATGAACCTTGCAAGCAGACAGGGTAAGGAGGCAGMAGAATCAGAAATTCATATCAATAATCTGCTTGCAGACTGGAGATGTGGGTGAGTGAATTATGTGGCCCTTTTCAACCCCTAGAACAAAAACAATATACAAAACTATGTATATTGTTCAGCCCATGAGACACRAAGCAGAAAGTAAAACTAGCAATGCTACACTACCACAGCATGAACAAACTGCCCATGCAGGGAAGAGGATGTTTCTCTTGTGGGTACTTGATGGACATGGATTACAGAGTTCTGAAGATGCTGTTTACTCAGTTGGCTACTGAAATGGATAATTAGTTTTTATTAGCTGTAATGTARCCACTAAGCATTTTGAACACATCATGCCAAAACATATCAGAACACATACCTGTCATCACGCCACTGAACTGAAAACTAGATCTACACAATAAAAGGYTGAAGGAACTGAATACACAATAAACCTTCAGACAGCAAAGTGGCACATACTTCCACAACACAAAAAATGCTGCTATCCTCACTGCTGAAGCATAAAGAATATCAATTATATCTAAGTGATGTTTCTTACTAAAGAATGAATTCAGTAGGATGCTTATGCACAGATTTCCTTAACAGATAGCTGTCACTTTATGAGAAAATATGGAAATTCATAGRTCACACGCATAATTAATTCAACAAGAGAATGATGTACGAGCTTGAATTAAACAGAGAACGCAATGATGCCCTTCAAAGCGAGTTTGAGAGAAGCTGTACCAATTCCAGAGTATTTCTTAATGCAGAGAGGTGCAGGCGGCCTGAAGCCTGTCCCTAGGCTCTCCTTGTTTTTATCTGTCCCTTGCCGTGGGTGGCAGGCACGGAGGCACCGCACCTGCCCGGGCTCGGCTCCCCTCGGGACGGTCTCCCCTGCGCCGCGGCGCCGATCGCTTCCCAGGAGGGGAAGTCTAGCCCCGCTTAATGACCTCTAAGACCCAAACACACCCAAGTTTTGTCCCCACAAAAATTTCGGGGCGCTTGGTTTGCCAAAGGCAATTTACGAACTAGTTAAGCTTCGGCAGCCTTGCGGAGGAGAGTTGTCTTTTCCGCCCCCATCGCACACGCAACCGCGGCAAATTCAGCCCCGCGTCGCAGGGCAGCCCACAGACGGATGGACTCCGGGGTCCGTGCAGGAGTGCGGGGACAAGGCTGGGAGCCGAGGGCGGGGGGGACAGCCGCCAGCCCCGCGCAGTCCCCGGCCCCGCAGGCTGAGCCCTGCCCGCCGCGGCCCCGCTCCTCTCCCTCCTCCCCGCCGCTCGCCCCCACTCACCGCCACCGAGCCCGAGGAGGAGGCGACGAAGACGCGGATCACCATCTTCACCTCATGAGCCGCGGCGACAGGAGCGGTGGGGACGGGGCAGCGAGGCTACGAGGAGCCGCTCCCCCGCACGGGACGGGGCCGGGGCCGCCCGGCTCCACCCCGCCACCGCCCCCGAGGGCGGCCACCGCCCGCAGCGCCCGCAGCGCCCTCAGCGCCCACAGCACCCGCAGCACCCGCAGGGCCCGCAGCACCCCCTGCCCTCCCCTGCCTGCCCTCCCCTGCCCTGCCCTGCCCAGCGAGCGCAGCCCCTCTCGGGCGAGCCGGGTCCGGCTCCCGGCTGGCAGGAGGCAGGCGATAGCGGCAGAGGCGGGAATGTGTGGGCGGCGCGCAGGGACCGACGGGCGCTGTAGTTCTCCCCGGGCGGGGACAGCCGTAGGACGGAGGCAGGAGGGAGCTTGCCCGGCCCCGGCTGCGGGCAAACGGAGGCGTGAGGCAGCCTGTCCGCCCCGGCTGCCGTGCCCTGGCGCCCAGGACTGCCCGGTGCCACCGTGCGCTTTGTGGGGGCTGAGAGGGGCTTGTGCCGCCTCCAGGTGCGCTGCCCACCCGAAGAGGTGAACAACGCCTGAAATTGCCGCCCCTCCCGCCGAGAGCTGCTCCCCTCGCTTCCAGCTCAGGCTGATCCTGGTCCTCATGCCCCCTGCGGAGCCGCCAGATCTGATCCTTGGTCGCCGCTTACTGCGGCAAAGGGATGGAAAATGAAACCGTTCTGGACTGTCATTCCTGTCAAGGCAAGCAACAGGGACAACGCAGGAAAGGCAGGACACCGGGCGAGAGGGCTGTCCTACGCCGTACATCCAGAAGGAGTTAACAGCCCTGCCCGTTTTCACTCCCTGGTATAGATGTACAGTTCCCAATAGTGTCAGCTGTGGAACAGATGTTATTAATCATCAGGATAAGCAGATAACCCCAAATAACCCTTCAGGCAGCTCATGTGCAAGTGACCAAGGCGAACTCGGTCCTCAWCAGCCTCGGGTCTGTGAGGTTGCAGCCTGCCTTCCTTTAAAGTCAAGAATACACAGCWGACAGCCTTATACATGTTACTACACTCGTAACCCTCATCCTCTTACATCCCTACGTGCAGCCAGATGGTTCCTCATTCCCTCTGACTAAACCTTCCCACCCTTTCACCCCAATGATGAAGTGTGCTGTGTCATCCTCCTTCACACCTTTGCATTGCACTGCCCTCAGTGAATTTCCACTGTCCAGACTAAGCACAGACCTCGACTTGCTGCTAAATGTGTCCTTAAATCTGTTGTACTTTTTAACATTGATAATTTATTTTGAAATCCTGAAGGTCTTGAAGAAGGTACCTAGCAAGTGTCATAAAATGCTCAGTGCTCTCTTAGAGCTTGATTTATCTTGTGGAAGTCATTGGAAAGCTTTCCRCTGATTTCACTGTCCTCTGGACTGAAGCTTAATATCAGGAATATAAAGTCCTTAAATGGGAATTCAAGTATCAATCTTGCAAAGATTTAYATTTATGCATTACTTTGCTTTCGTGAGAGTGCTTGTTGAAATAAAAGAAGAGTAAACTTTGCTGGAGAACACTTAGGTACAAAGGTTAAGGTTTTCTGGCTTCAGTGCTCTTGTCTTCACTTGAGCATAACTTTTACTGTGGGAACCATGAACCAGTGAATAACAAGTGTTTATTGTTTAATTGCAGCTGAATGTCCAGTGAAAGCAGCAAAGGAGACAAACTTGTTTTTATGTTGGTTTGTAAGGCAASACCAAGCAACTTGTTAAAATTCTGTGATAGGTGAGTAATTATAGGAATTTTCTGGAAAATTCCCATTACCTTACTCAGTGAATTCCTTCGTGCTACAGGACTACTTCTGGCAACAATTTTTCTTGTATTTCTCCAAGTTTTATTTAGAAGATAGAGGTGCTTACTTCCTACTTATTTCTCTGTTTACTCACTACTAGAAAATATTGGGTGTAATATTMTATTTTGGTCGTACTCTTATTTTATGAAACAAAATCAGGGCAACTCATTGCAGCTGGTTGTATGTGATTCATTCACTGCAGTAATATATAGCATTAAACTATAATATTAATAACTCCTGCTTTCTAATATATTTTATAAATACAGCAAAGGAGCAAAAAAGATAATAAGACTGATTCTGAAGGCTGCTGGAGATCTTTATCTTTCATTAAACCCAGGAAGAGAATGCTCCTACATCTCAGAGACAGCCTTGACACATAACAATAACCCAGAGAAAACATATGGCAATGGCATCATCACATAGAAAAAGCATGAATTGTAACTAAGAAAATTAAGAATTCTAATGAGAATGTAAAAACTGTAACTAATGTATTTTTTAAGATTGTTTCCTCTCTGTATAAGAATCCTCTATTTTGTTAGCTCCAAAAGCCACAGATATAGCCTCTGTTCCTATGTGGAAAACATACAACTTCCATTTCAGTTCACTTGAAAGTGTTTATGAACTGCATAAATTCTCAAAAGCTATGGGAAAAAAAGACAAGACAATGCACATTCTTCTTTTTTATTGTTTTTAGAGTCTCCTTTTTGTTCCTGCAGCCCTAAGGTTGGTAGCTTCCTGCAGCTTGAACTTCAAAATATGGTCTGAGCAGCTAAACTCATGGCCAGAGTTGATAAAATCAAATTGAGCTAAAGTACCAGAGCTCATGAAAATCTTCCCTCTATCACACTTGACACAGTTTTAGCCAAAGCTTCAGCATCCTTACTCCACACATATTTGGAGAAACCATCAAAGACAGAGCAGGGGAACTCACTGCCTACATTCAACTTCATAATGAATGCAACTTAAAGCATCCTTGAGGACTTCCTTTGAAACTGAATTTGAACAATCTCAAGCTATATTTCCACATTTTTTTCTTATAATTCTCTATTTTCATAAGTAAATTGATAAAGTTTTGGGTTAATACTTTTGCATCTATGACTTTTCAGTATAAACTTTGATGCAACAAAGGGCATTGAAAATCCAGACAGCTTTCTCATGTTTTTCTTTTGCCGGTCTTTCCATACACATAAAGCAGCTARTTTGTTATAGAAGTAGTCCAGAAAGTTAGGAAAACCTAAACATTACACTGAGAAAGTGAAGATTTTAAAGCTTATACAGCAGCCTCTTAATCTATGTGACTCCTAAGAAGAGAAATATTCCTCTGTRGAGTGTAAAACCTACTGGACATCACCATATGTTGTTTTGCATTTTTAGGTGGTATACAGGTTAAGACTGGACATCACCCTTTGTCCTGCAGCTGCTGCTGGCAAATATCCCTGAGGCCATGCCTTTTACTCCATTTCTGTTGTACAGTTCTGGAGGCTTGAAGACAAAATTGTACAAACTTTTAGTTAAGTAGAAGAAATGTAATAAATTAAAAACATTGCTAAAATGATTTATGAGCAGTTTSCCATGTTTACAGCAGGTACTGAAAGACTCCAGTTGACAATGTAAATTTATGGGGGGCAGGGGTAGTTTCTAAAGATTTCACGGTAAGAATGATTCATTGTTATGTCAGACCTTCATGGAAGATTAAACAGAACTTTACTGCTGCTAAGGTAACAAAGTACACACAGAACCAAGGCTTACTRGTGTGTGGAAACAGAAGTCTAAAAGAACAACTTCGAACAAAGAACATTCTAGTTATGATAAAGGATGATTGCATAGCAAGATGCAACATGCACTGGATAAAAATATGGGAGAAACAGCATATTGTGTTCAGGACTGAAAAAATAGTTAGGATGGCTTTATTTCCATGAAAGAAGCAGTCTGCCTGAGGCATTTCAGAAGTTTTCTGGTCTGGGTGGTTGGTACCAATCAATTATTTCTCTGGGTTCTGTGAAACATTGCTAAAAAATAGTGAAGTTTCATCGACTCTGCAACAGACCACATCCTTTTGCTTTCTAAGGAGGTCTTCATCACTTTTAATAAATTCCAAGTATTAAAACATGTTGAATTACAGATTTATAATGCCATTAAAAGCTGTGACAGTTTACATCAGTCTTCTTTGGTAGAAATGTGACTGTCATGATAGGGAGCAGAAAATAAAGGGCAGAGAAAACCTAGTGTTTCAGCTTCGATAGAACTACAGAGTATCATTTCCTGCTTATTGCACTGCACAGCACCAGAGAAAAATAATTTAAACCATACAGAATGGCCAAAGTAACATAATTTAAGAACAGAACTGTTTCACTCGTTGTGTAATAGCACTCACCGTGGTGGCTGATAGCCCATAAACATCTTGGCCAGACACAGTTTGAAAATGTATGAGATAAGGCTGCTTGGAGCCCGATTCTCTGCATACATCCTAGAAGCCACCATATTTTAAAGGTATTATTTTATTCACAGAAGTAACCTCCAGGGCAATTTTCTCAGTTGTGCTTAAATGCCTGCAGCCATGGTCTGTGGATACTCGTATGAATCCTTCTCTACATGCACAACAGKTCAAGAACCTCCTAATCAAGATCACTCTATCCTTTGCAAAATTCTTTTGAGTGTTTTATCTGTCACTGATGTTTCTCAATAACAAACTCAGTTTATTGCAAGACTCTGTTTTTCCCAGAACCTTCACTGTGGCCAGAGGTTTGCATTCAGAGCATTTCTCAGCTTTCCTCACAGTCAGATTTTAGAGATAACATCCTAAGACAAAGCTCTCTCTTTTTTTACTCTGAAGCTACTACAAAGCCMACATGTTAAAGCGGGGTCTTGGAAAGAGACAAAGTTGGAACAATTTTGACAGAGGTTTTGATTCTTGCATTTCTAAATTTGTAGCATGTTGAGGAGAGCAGCAAAGTACAGCTGTTCTTCATTTTAGAATTATTTCTGTACCATCTCTTTATAACTTACAGAAGAAAATAAAGCCAAACAAACAAAATTATTTTWAAAAAAATTCCACAGAGTGCTTGAGTAACCCTTCCTTCATGTCGTTTAAACCGAAATGTACCTAGATAATAAYAAAGCTGTATAAGTCCATTCTTCTCAGCTGCTGTCCTTTAGTAGAAGTCACAATCTGCTGCTCTTTAGTTGAAACATGATTAGTTTTAGTATCTGTGCCTGCTTTGATTCCCCCCATGAATTCCTAATACTACGGACCTTTGAAAAGAAGAACATTTTCCTGTGAAATTCCTCATCTGATGTAGGTCAGTCATCTG